ATGGAATGGACGCGATACTTCGAAAACTTCTTTACCGCGGAGACCGATGCAATTACACTTCTTGTCCGCAGCAGCTGCCCGAGATACAGTTTATTCGATCAACAGAGTGTCTCTGAAGAAGAGGTGAATGTTATCAGTTATGAGATCAATGGACCTGAAGCTACTGTGCTGGGCGAGTACGATGCCCATGACCCTAAATATGAGTCTCTTGAGGTTGCGTCCATTCTCGTGGACCTAAATGTCGACTCTTCAAAGATACCCAGTGGTGAGTGTATCCCCAAGCTTTCACTACATCTCTACCCGACCGAAAAGTTCGAGGAGGCCTTCTATACGTCCAAACGATTCCTATATGCAGGAGTGGTCATTGCCATCTTTGCGTTTACAAGTCTTGTTTTCTTGCTGTACGACTTTTTTGTTGGAAGGAGACAGGTAAGCATTTTAAAATTGTCTCCGTGCATTCACAGCAATATCTCGGATGAAATTTTGAATGCAATCCTGTTCCTCACCAACAACTATGATGTCATACACAGAGAAAAGTCATGGATCGTATCAAAATGCAAGACCTCATTGTTTCGAATGTCTTTCCCACGGCAATTCGGGATCGGCTTTATGATGGCATGGGCAAATCCTCGGAACGCGTCGATCCGCTTGACATTGACGGCGAAAACGACAGATCCTCACGTGCGGCACCAATGGCAGACTTGTTCCCCGATGTGACCATTATCTTCGCTGACATTGTTGGCTTTACCGCTTGGTCATCTGCTCGTGAGCCCCCTCAAGTCTTTGACTTGCTTGAGACGATCTATGCAGCCTTTGATAGAGTAGCTTACCGACACAATGTGTTCAAAGTTGAAACAGTTGGTGACTGTTATGTCGCAGCAGCCGGCTTGCCAGAGCCAATGAAAGATCATGCCGGTAAGTTTACTGTTTGATGAGTTTCTTGGAGTAACTAGCTCCATTTCTTAATGTTCAAGTTTCGAACCAGTTTGGACTCACATATCTTGTTGCCTTTGATGAAACAGTGGCGGCGTGCAAATTCGCTCGAGACTGTTTGAAGAAGATGAAAGAGATTACTCTGAAACTCGATGTAACGCTCGGTCCTGATACGTCGGGCTTGAGACTGAGAGTTGGGATTCACAGGTGAGTCAAGATACGATATGATACGATATTGGACGAACAAACTGATAGCACGGCTAACACAACCTTTCTCTGTTGTGTTAGTGGTCAAGTGACGGCCGGTGTATTGCGAGGTGAACGCAGTCGCTTCCAGCTTTTTGGTGACTCTATGAATACAGCTGCTCGAATGGAGAGTACCGGAAGGGCGAGCTGCATTCAGATCTCACAGACCACCGCTGATCTGCTGAAGGAAGGAGGCTTTGATAACATGACCATACCTCGTAGGCAAAAGACTCTTGTCAAGGGCAAGGGGGAAATGCAAACCTACTGGCTCCGTTCAACGGATTCGAAGCGGTTTCAAAGAAAGAATAGCAACCAACTAATGGAATCGACGATTAGCGAAGAAGAAACAGTGGAGGACTCCTTCAGCTCTTCTGAGGACGTCGGTGACAAGGATAGTGACCTTTTTGACATGAGCGGTGTGGAAGGCATGAGCAAAACCGAGCGCCTCGTCGAGTGGAATGTTGAAGTTCTCAGCCCGCTGCTGCAGCAAATAGTGGCTACGAGAGGAGGATCTCGAAAGAGCATCAAGCCTCTACAGGTCGTTGAATGCAACATTCGATCTGGTCAAACCATCTTGGAAGAGTTCGTACCTATCATTCACTTGAAGAGACCTGACAGTGATTTGAACGACCGTCGGCAAAGATACAGCTCGACCGATGTGGGGGATGATGTCAAGTCAGAGCTACGACGCTTCCTCTCCAATATTGCCGAGTTGTACACAGACAGCAACCCATTCCACAACTTTGAACATGCTAGGTGAGTGCTATCTTTTGATGATTCCGAACAGACTGATGCTTTTGTCGATCTAACTGAATAATTTGCCTCGTTCTCATTTTATTGCACTTTTAGCCACGTCACCGCATCCGTGAAGAAATTGCTCAAACGCATCGTCAACGTCGACAGTGGCAATGGACTCACACAGCAGAATGGAAACAGCGGAGTGAACATGGTCGACTTGGCCGGTCATTCGTACGGGATTACTTCCGATCCACTGACACAGTTTGCTGTCGTGTTTTCCGCCATCATTCATGATTTGGATCACCCAGGTGTACCAAACGCCCAATTGGTGAAGGAAGGCGCTCCAAATGCTGAGCTGTACAAGAACAAGTCAGTGGCGGAGCAGAATAGCGTCGACATTGCATGGACGATTCTAATGAAAGACGAGTACCAATCCTTGCGAAGCTGCATCTATCAGACTGAAGAAGAGCTTCGGCGTTTCCGTCAGCTGGTGGTGAACACAGTCATGGCTACTGACATTGTGGACAAGGAATTGCAAGCGCTTCGCAAGCAACGTTGGGAAACTGCGTTTTCCGACAAGGTTCAAGAACCAGCATCGTCCTCCTCTGAAGAATCGGAGTCCGAAGAGAGTCAGGACCGCAAGGCGACCATTGTGATCGAGCACTTGATCCAAGCCTCCGACGTAGCGCATACAATGCAGCATTGGTACATTTACAAGAGCTGGAACGAAAAGTTCTTTTGCGAATGCTACAAAGCGTACAAGTCGGGTCGGGCAGATGTCGATCCTAGTATCAACTGGTACAAAGGAGAGATCGGTTTCTTTGACTTTTATGTGATCCCTTTGGCTAAGAAGCTGGACAACTGCGGCGTGTTTGGGGTATCATCGCATGAGTATTTGAACTATGCAATGGCGAATCGGGCGGAGTGGGTGCGAGAGGGAGGAGAGCTTGTGAAGCAGTTTATGGAGAACTACAACAAAAGTGAGGGAAAACACTAAAGCAATTGATTGAAAGGAGCTGAAATTTCGTTGTTGTTAGGATCTAAAGGTATAATAGGGGAGTTTTATTGATATTTTGCTCTAGATATGTACTACCGTAGGTCCCAGGTTTTAGGTTGTGTTATTAGGCAATGAATATTCCACACAAGTCCTACAGTACCATCGAAAGGAATTGGGTGGCAAACAACGTTTTGGAGAGTCTGACTACACAGAGACCATCATGCATGGCGGACCTTTCCAGAATGATTTTGCAAGCGGAGTCATAATGCCTACAGTTTCCCAGATCCAACCGGACACTCAAGAGAAAGGACTTTGACTGATGCGGCCCTGAAGAAGAAGGAAGTAACAGTGTGACAGAGGGGCACCTCAGCCAGTGAACAATCGTACAGTCACTGCTCTCTATGAATGAAAAAGACATAAATATTATTGCCACTCGCCTCCAGAGCTCACAATCGTATTGCCACCATATTCTTTCTGCTTTCAAAAGCTACCTACAGTTCACAACGACAATATGAATGAATGCTTCAATCGCACATCATTTCACACTATCTGGAGTTCGTTGTTGCTATCCGGCCTGCCGAATCAATACAGTAAGCAAACTGTCATTCCCGCGTGCAAGTGATAGACGTAATGAATGGAATGGCAACACGCGTTTTATCCTGCTTCAAGAGAGAAGCCGTCCGAAAATCGATTTCTGTCTTTCGCTTTTAGATGGCACTAGATTCTTCTCATTTAACGTTGTGAAATCACAAAAATAGGAGTTTGGCACTGAGACTTTTTTGAATGAATGAAATAGGCCCCATGATTTCTGTTTGACCAGTCTAGGTGTAATGAGGCCTCTTTGCCACGCGGTAGATATATTATTAAAATATGTTCCCTTGTGGTACCTACCGGCACAGCGCGTGCCGGTACCGATGGGTTTTTGTGCGGGCGAGATGAAGCTACGATACCCATATTACCCGTTTGGTCCAAATAGACATTTTACAGAATTTTAAAGCAAGTTATTTCCTGTTCATAGCATCCTCGAGAAACGACCCTGTTAGAGCGACCCAAATGTTGCCGGCCGGCCACGCGCCTGCCAGGACTGTTTGATCGGTCAAGTGGATTGACAGTCGTCTGTCTGACTCCTAGCCGACTTCTTTGACTGGCAAAAGACATTGGCGGCAAAATTGAATTCGGACTTGGCGCTCCGCAAATCATCAAAGTAACTGGAGTGAAATTGAAATAAATTTCCTGTGAAACAAGCATACTAGTAGCACTACCTTCCCCTTCCCCCCCATCCTTTTCAATGTCTTTAGAAAATGCGTCAGATCTCACCCAGGAAGAATTGGAAGAAGGACTACAAATCAAAGTTGCTGAAGCACGAACATGGTGCGCCAAGCTCCCCTTTTGACGGTCTTGTAGATTATGATGGTGAATCTGCTGATTTGTTCTCGTTTGTCACCAACGCCATTGAAATAAGAGCTGCAAAATTTGATCCAAAGCAATGGCCACCCACCAAAAAAAGGTCTGAAAGATTTGCTTCACCATTTGAAAGTAATTGGTCTCAAGCATGGAAGCGAATTCATATATGACGTCTCAAAAGGCTGGTTGGCTTGTTATAGATCAAAGCCATACCATGGGACAAAACTACAAGACTCAGAGCAATATAATGAAAAGGGGGTCCTTCTCCAGTACCGACACAAGTCCTACCACCATGATCGCTTAAGGAATCGTCCAGATGGCCTAACGCGACCCCGTGCTACACATACTTCAAAGGACACCACAGGAGACAAGCTTTGCTCTTGCCGACTGCGACTGCGTATTCACAAGAGCAAAAAGGCAAGTGAACCATCATACATCTACGTTTCCTGTACTGGAAGCACAGTCCATAGATATCATGCAAAACCGGCGGCCGAGTTACCAATAAAGGCACACAACCTCACAAAAGTAGCTCGACAAGCCGTCATTGCTCAACAGAAGGCAGCAGTTAGTGGTACTCAATCTCGGAAGATGCTTCTTGAGTTGAAGCACGGCTATGTCTCTAGGTCTGCGCATCGATCAGTAGTGGTAACCTCACCGGAATACATTGAAGCCAAAGCTGCCAATGAAGCAAACTCTTCGGCTGCTGACTTTATACAATGGTTCTTCCAATGTGGAGCTCCTAAATTCCAACGAAGATGCCTGTTTGCCCCAGCAGAAGAAGAGCGGAACTGATGGCATCTGTGGTGTAAAGGAGACAATGGCCACAAAGCAGCAAGCACCAAGAGGCTTGTACTCCATTTCCAACGTCTCCATTGAACAAAAAGAGAAAAAATTGTTTGCCAGGTCACATGAGGTGGAAGTAGGCCTAAAAACCGTTGCCCCTATGGGAACACTGGTATCTGAAGCAGAGGAGCATATGAAGACTCTTCAGCACACAATTCATCACCAAGACCAGCTTTTCTCCTTGCCTTTTTTGCTGTCTCTGTTTTGTCCATTTTAGCACCAGCTCCTGCAGTACCAAGGCCCAATTCCTGCCTCACCTTCTCTGCCCTCCTTCATCTTGCG